AATCAAGATGTTAAATCGACTTATGGTTTTAAGTTTTCTTACATGTTTGAATACCGAGTCCATAGATTGACAAGTTGAAGGAAGGAAGTTGGGTATCATGGGACTTAAGGCATTAGACTATGAGACACTGAATGAAAACGTGAAGAAAGTTCAATATGCAGTCCGAGGCGAGCTGTATCTTCGAGCTTCTGAGCTTCAGAAGGAAGGGAAGAAGGTATGCTTTTGTTTGTTTTCTCCTCATTTTATTTGACAATCCAGTTCAGCTTCTTATGCTAAGCAACTAGTAGGAACAGAAGTTTATATGTTGGTCATTTTAGCTTTTGTAATCAACAGAGAATGTGTAAATTCCGGTTTCTTACATATTATTTGTTGGGGCTTTTGTAATCACACTTTTGAGCCAAGTTATTTGGTGTCTTCAGAGTTCAGAGTATTCATTGATTTGATTTCTTGTTTCCTAGTTAAATGTCTGCCTTGATGAGTTGATTCATATATTCATCTTGTGTCTGAACTTTTCTCAAGGATCGGATTCTTGTTGACGGACACAATTAAAATGTCTGTGTGAACCTATATGCGGTATATGAAATCTCTACAGTTTACTAGAGTCCCTTATGTGCTTGGAGAGTGCATTTCCATGTATTTAATTCCTCTCAGGAAGAATGTTTTTCAGAATTTTATATTTTTTATGTTTCCAGAAGTATGACTTGATGGTTTTGCATGTTATTAGTGAAACGAGCTCTAGAAACATGGTGCTGTTAAATTGCAAAACAGTTGTGCACATGTTAATTTGTTTCGTGGCTTTATTGTTATGTCTACAGATTATTTTCACAAATGTTGGCAACCCTCACGCTCTTGGACAAAAACCACTGACTTTCCCTCGCCAGGTATATCTATAAGTTCTATCTATTTCGGTTTTCATCTGTTGGAGTCATTCTTTGTTTTGCTCATTCAGTTGTTAATAGCGTGTATTGAACCAACAAATCTGTGTTACTGCAGGTGGTTGCTCTGTGCCAAGCTCCATTTCTGCTAGATGATCCTAATGTAGGACTTATGTTTCCCGCAGATGCAATTGCAAGAGCAAAACATTATCTTTCACTGACTTCTGGTGGTCTAGGTATATCGTTGAGCTATTTATACGAAAATTGTTGTTAAGCCACCTGAAGTACATCCTGTTTGTGCTTTTTTTCTTCAGTCTATGTACTTGTTAAATAATCTACATATCGAATTTTTATCTTGCCATATTTTTTTATATTTGAGATTGCCAAGGTTTTTATTCCCATTCACTGGAACTTAAGAGTCCAACATTCTACCATACACTGCACGACAATTGGCAACTTTTATATTGTCGTTATTTGAATTATTTCTATATTTTGCTTATTACTTTACAAGTATCCTATTATAGCTTATCTTTGAACCGTTCCAGAGGGTTTTCCGAATTTGAAGTATTCAAATATGATCTACAGTATAAATAACATTTGTTCCTTCACTGTCTATCTAGGTGCATACAGTGATTCCAGAGGTATTCCAGGAGTCAGGAAGGAGGTAGCTGAGTTCATTGAAAGGCGTGATGGGTATCCTAGGTGATAATTTAGATGCCAATTCATCACTGACAATATCACCTTTCATACAAACAAATTCTCAATTTTGGTTCCAAAGTTTTAAGCTTATTGGTTGTTTGCTTCTTTTTCCAATTGCAGTGACCCGGAACTCATATTTCTCACTGATGGTGCAAGCAAAGGTGTGATGCAGATCTTGAATTGTATTATCCGTGGGAAGGGGATGGGGTAACATATTTTCCTCATCCATTTTTTAAAACATGATTTCATCATCTGTACCATCTTTTCTTATTGTCTTAGTTTGATTTCTTCTGCCTTGTAAATTATAATTTAGAGATTTACTACATTCCCAGTGCATAATTCTGATGATATGTCGTATTCTATTAAAAATTTTGCTCTAGATTTTGGTTCCCGTCCCACAGTATCCACTTTACTCTGCTACAATATCTCTCCTTGGTGGTTCACTTGTTCCATACTACCTGGAAGAGACCGCAAACTGGGGGTTAGATGTTAACAATCTTCGCGAATCAGTTGCACAGGCTCGCTCCAAAGGATTAACTGTCAGTATGCTTTTCGTTTTGCTTGTTTACAAAAGAATTCCAGAAACATGGTCTGAAACTACACAAACATCACAATTAGATACAATGACGGATAAAAGGTGACCTGCTTAAGAACCATAAGCATATATAATTTGTTTGACTAAATAATCGCATCCTGCTTGTTGGGACTTAAAAAATCTGATTCATTTTGGCTGGCATCAAACGCATTTTACTTCCCAAATTTATTTTCTCCATTTGATTCGCAAAAGTTGTTTTCAATGCTTAAATTCCATTTGGATTTAACACTACAGTACCTTTTATTATTTTGGTAAATGGATCTTCTTTTTGCTGTATATATGACCAGGTGAGAGCAATGGTGATTATTAACCCTGGGAACCCTACTGGTCAGTGTCTCAGTGAAGCTAATTTAAGAGAAATAATAAACTTCTGTTACCAAGAAAACTTAGTGTTACTTGGAGATGAAGTTTATCAACAGAATATTTACCAGGACGAGCGTCCCTTTATCAGTGCTAGAAAGGTAGATTCTATCTTGCTATTAGATGAAGCTAGGTCTGAATGTTTCTCATGGCGTGTTAATTGTTTTTAATTGCATAATTTTCCTTTACCTATGGAAGGTTTTGATGGATATGGGGCCTCCCATAAGCAAGGAATTGCAACTCATTTCTTTCCACACCGTGTCTAAAGGATATTGGGGTGAATGTGGGCAGCGAGGAGGATACTTTGAGATGACCAACCTTCCTCCCCAGGTTCGAGTCGTTTTAATTTGCTTTAATGAGTGTTTTTCAGAGGGAGCCAGGAATTTCTCCCAAATGTCAATACGTGATGCATTGTAAAATAATTTTAGCACCATTGCTATTAAATTTCCATGTTAGAAAGGTATAGTAGTTTCCCAACTTTGATGATGCTAAACGGAAACCACAACTAAGTTGCTTTCATATTCACAGTCATAGACTTTCTTCTTCTGGGGATTGAACGTAATACGGATGCTTAGTTCAATTTTGCTTTCCTGATCTTATATTACAGACAGTTGATGAGATCTACAAGATTGCATCGATAGCACTCAGTCCTAATGTTCCTGCTCAGATATTTGTGAGTTAAATGTCATTCTATTTTCTGTGACTTCGAGCACTTTTAAGTTTCTGTGGTGATCTCTTAACCGTAAAATAAGTAAGCTTTCTCTTCTCTTTACAGATGGGATTGATGGTCAACCCTCTCAAACCTGGGGATATTTCATATGAGCAATTTATTAGGGAAAGGTATGCCTACTAAGACAAAGTTCCCAAAGACTTGGTTAATGCATGTTTTTCTTTCTGGTTTAATAAAAATGGAGGGTGCGTTTTTCCAGTGTTCTCATGATCGTGCTAAATGATTGCCTAGCACTGACTTAACTAACATTAACACTTGCAGCCAAGGAATCCTTCAATCGTTGAGAAGAAGAGCGAGGATAATGACTGATGGATTTAACAGCTGCAAGAATGTGGTCTGTAATTTCACCGAAGGTGACTCGTTGTTCTTATCAACTGGTTAATCAAAATCCTTGGTTTTCTGCTATTGTTCATCAGTACTTTATTCTCGGTGATCCTACAGGCGCCATGTATTCTTTTCCTCAAATACGCTTGCCTCTTAAAGCTATAGAAGCTGCCAAGAAGGCAGGAAAGGTGCCAGATGTTTTCTATTGTCTCAAGTTGTTGGAAGCAACAGGCATCTCCACTGTCCCTGGTTCCGGATTCGGACAAAAAGAAGGGTACTTCGAAACTCAAATAATCATCTTTCCTGTTCGGAAAACTTCTAAACTTATTCCTTCCGCTCATGTTCGATGATTTGCAAGGATTAGTTATTTGATAGTTTTACGAAATGCTTGAACGTTTTGCTTTTTCCAACAGGGTCTTCCACTTGCGGACAACGATTTTACCTGCGGAGGAAGACATGCCTGCGATCATGTCGAGCTTCAAGAAATTCAACGACAAGTTCATGGATGAATATGAAGATAAGTGGAATCAGTCAAGGATGTGAAGCATGCTTCCAAAGTGTGGTTAGTACTTATATATGAATTGGCTGTTGCAGGCCACTCTATCACACATGTTCAAACTTTACTCATGTTCTTTCTTTTTCCTTGAGCTGTAAAACTTCATCCTACTCAACATTATATCCGCCGCTCTTCTCTTATCTCTTTTCCCATCTTTCAATCTGCTAACACATGGTCAGAGGCTTGGGGAATTTACAGTAATCCTTTCAAAAAATTCAACTTGATCTTCGAATTCTTTTTAGAAACTTTAATTGAACTTCGAAATTTTTTAATCTTTTTAATTAGGCCCCTTGAAAATTTTCAAGAAGTCTTTGAAAATATGAATTAGATACCCCAAGTTTTGAATATTAATTAGATACTTTAACACATCTCACCGACTAGGTTGTTAACTCGAAAGCTCAAATTGAGCCGAAACATATCGTTCATCAATTCGAATGATAATGCTTATACATATCAATAACAAACGTTATATTTATATGCATATAAATTCGTATTTGATTACACTCGGTTCAAATTTTAAACATGCTTTAGATCTACAAATTGTTCGATAATCTTAATTTTTTTCTCTCAGTTGGGAGGTTTCAACATCTCCTTGATCTAACAAAACACACACATGTAGCATACATCAAAACACAATCCATCACAATTATGTACTCAAATTTAACATGGATGAACCCAAATTTAAAGAATTAGCATGACTCAAATTTATACCAACATTTCAATTCCTCCCATCTTCTCCCTTTCCACGACTTTCCTTGTGCTTTCCTATTGATTCCCTCCACAAAAAGGGGGAAAAAGTCCCGTCTTTATTCGCCTATAGTATTTCTAGTCATCTTCAAGCTTGGAACTTTTGGTTTGGGTATGGGGGTTCCAGGGAAGCTTCAAGTGGATGGAGGAGTGTTGGAATCCGATGCCAAAAAATGGGTCACTGCCGGCATCTGTTTATGAGCTCCACTGAAGTCTATTTACACTGATCCAGTTGATCGTCACAAAGATACAGAAACCTCCATTAATGATAAAGAAGAAGACGAAGAAGAATCATGTTCCAGTTCCATCACTCCAACGGGGCAGGAAGCCAGAATTCCGACGTCGTTGACATGTCCACCGCCTCCGATGAAGAGAAAACCTACTATGAAGTGTAATTACGGGGGTGCTAGAGAGTTCTTTACTCCCCCGGATTTGGACACTAACTTCATACGCCGCTATGTTTAAAGAGTTAACGAATTGCATAAAAGCTCTCCACCTCTCTTGTAATGGGCTTATCATTTTCATTTTCTATTGTAGGGGTTTTTTAAACGGTAGTAAGTAACCACTCGAAGTTTACGTACAGAGGGAATTCTTTGATGAATAACATGTCGAAATTCAACTTCTTTTACCTTTTTAAATTTCTATATCTGTAGTAGTAATTAACTGTGGGAAGTGTGTGCACGTTATCCCTTGTTTTAGACTGGCATTTCACTGCCCCATCTCCCACTTCAAACTCTTGAGAAAGCGAGAAGCTTCTTTGTAATGCTCTTCACTTTTCTGTGATATAACTCAATACAAGGGGACAATACACATGTGGTACGGAAAAATTATGATACGTACTCGGTTGATCATATTATTCGTACTTTCAATCATAATATTCTTTCATCTTATTTTTTAAGTTAAATTTTTATCTCTATTTTACGTATAAATAAGAATGAAATTATTTAAAAGTTATTTTAAAATTAATAGATATAATTCACGAAGACCATGATGGTGAGTACGATCTATAAAATAATTTATCATTGTTAAGACATGGGTGAGAATCCTATTCAAGGGTTTGAATGGACGTTAATTTACTCTCTTCCAACACCCCCTTAATTTATGAAAAATGTCACTTGCATATGCTGATATGCATCTCTATTTCTCAAACTTTACTAACTATCAATCTACTTTTGAATTAGGATAATCAAAGTGGAATGTTTATTAAAAAGAAAGGGTTAATCCATCTGTTAAAAACCCAGCCAATGTGTAGGCAGAGTTCAAAGAAATGTAAAAATGTTTTTGGGGCTATATACTTTTGAAGAAAAAATAATTTTGTTTTTGAAATAATTTTACACCAAATATGACCCTCTATTTAAGAAAATAAATATAATGTGATTCTTTTTTCGACGTCTTCGATATTGATGTAACGATTCATGATGTTGACGTGACGATATACGACGATTGATGATATAACAAATGACTTGGTAGATTTATTTAATCTAATATCGAGTTTTATTTTTCATAGTTATTAATATATGATCTATTAATTGATTAATATGAATTGGATAATATACAAATTCATTATGAGGATAGACTTTTTATAATTTATTATATTTAGGATTCATATATATGCGTGTGTCATTATTTAAAAAATTCAATACTTTTATTTTATTAAATTAACTTTTGATAATATGAAATTTCAAGTTTAATAAACTTAAACAAAGCTTTATGGGGATCGGAGCTTTTAGATTGAAGCAATAATATACTAATTTTTGGATCATATTATTTCATTAAACTACACCCAATAAGTCAAATACTTGGTGGTATTGTTGGAGACCCACATGGGATATGGGTGGCTTTCTTTCAAATAATACATTCTTCTTGAGCCCCTTTCTCGCTTCTTGAGTACCTTTATCATCTTTGAATCTCCACCTGATTTCGCCTCCACCCTGCAGACGATAACCCATGAAAAGCCATCGGAACATGAGTTAATCGACCGCCAATCGACGTGTGTATCCCAACAAACTCCAACGCTATAAATTGTGATCCTACACGAGTCTAATGTCCAATCGACGACAAAGATGACTATGCCTGATTAGGAAGATGGCAAGTACGACATCGAAGACAGTGGCCAAAAAGGACGACATTGGTGGGTTTGAGTTAGGGATTTAGAATTTTTAGAGATTTGAGGGGTTTTTTTTTTGTAATTTAAGAGAAATTTGAGTGATCTTTTAAATATAATAATATTTTAAAATTTTAAGAATAAAATAAAATTTTTAAAATTATCATAATGTGACACGTGCCACTTAATAGAGTTTTTTAACTGCTGTCACAGTCGGGACGTTTGTAATGTTAGACACATGGATGGATCGAAAGAAAGTTTTTAAAAAAACGGTATAGTTTAGACACTTATTTTCTAGTTAAACTTTTTTTTTAAATTAAACACTAATATTTAATCTATTCATCTATTAATTAAAATCAATTTTTACATGGACCATACGATAACGTTTGGGATTATTAAACCAAAGTCATTTCCCCTTTTTTCCCTATAACTTTTATCCTCGAGAAAAGAAACCCAAGTACCATTCTAAATCATATTTTATGGGGGTATAACCCAACAATATCGATGGATCTTTCATGCTACATTTTCCTATATATTATGGGTCGGGAAAATCATCATAAGTCCAGATTTCAGCAGGGACCCTTTATGCTACTCTTCAATGGCGAGGTTCATTATTATACATATGGGAAACAATGTTAAGAGCATCTCAAAAATTGAGTAACTCGATTGAGTAAGATTGATCTTACTCAGTGGCGAATGCATGTCTTTTTCAAGATGGGTACTTAAATTTGAATTTTTTTCATGACAGTTGTCCATTTTTATAGATAATTTCCGTCCTAAAATTTTATTTGTGATAGTCTCGTAAAAGATATTTATACTATTAATATGTATGGACTCACTGAAAAATATTTCTGAATCCGTCATTGTTCTTGTTAGACTTGAATTGATCAGAGCTGATACGAGAACATAGAATCTCTAACTTTAAATTCATTCCATGTTGATTGGGTGAATCAGTTCTCGTTTTCTTCCGATATAGAGGACATGAAAAATATGATTTCTACGAGATTTCTGGATCCCAAGTTCTTCCACCTTTCAAGTATCTAATATGTCTCTGAGATGAGTACGGGACAGGTAGAGCTTGGGTACGTACCAAGGACGTCTATGTCGAAAGGATACTAACATACAGCTAGAATTATCTTAGCATGTCATAGAGATTTTCAGGAACGACGTTTTATCTTCACACACATATCGACAGTTATCTTTTAGATTTAAAATTTTATTTAAAAAATGATTTTGAATAAGAAATTGAAGTCGGTTTTGGAGTCTAGAATATCTAGTGACTTACGGTAAATTTTCAAATGGGGTCCGAGTATTTCTAGATTAATGTATCTTCTTACCGATGAGCCTTTTTTAAGTTATCTTTCAACACATCTTAAAACGTCTCAATTAGATGTTGTGAACTTAAGATAAGTCAATTTTAACAAAATTTGTGCAAATAAAAAATTGGATAATTTCTTATGTTTGATTTTATAGTAATTATAAATTTTAAAAAAATATTTTTATTTATCGTACTCTTGTCGTACATGTACCACATAATTTTGAACATTAGTATTTCATGTTTCCTTGTTCGTTCTTGTATCTATCAGTGTATTCGTATTAGTGTAACATCTTATATAGGACTGTCAGAGAATTAAAAGAGCATGTTAAAAAAAATATAAACACAAAATGAAAGTTGCTGGTTGTGAATGAACTAAAGAGAAAATAGTGTGTAACCAAGAGAGAGAGAGAGAGAATACTGTAGAAAAGTATTTTTTAAGAATAAATTGTAATTATTTAATAAAAGTTGTATATATTTTCAAAATTCAATAATAATGAGAAAGCATAAATCCAAAAAGAATAAGTATGTGCATCCAACTAGGAGCCGGGTATGACTAGACATTCGTCTTTCAAGTGGCGGTAGCAAGTATCCACCAGCCATTGTGCACCTTGTTTGGCTTGGTAGTTACACTTAGTTTTTTTTGTCCTTTTTTTAATCATGGGATAACCGACGTGCAATGTTCTAATAAATTCTTAATTGAGAAAATAAAATATCCTGACACGATTCAATCGAATTCAAGGATGATTAATATTTTTAGAAATTTCTAGTTCAAGTACGTCGTCTGTAAAAGTATTTTAACGTTCATTATTAAATGATTGAAAAATATTTCGAATAAATATTACATTATAATCACTCTATACCGATCAGATAATATTATGATACGAATTTGTGCCAAATTCAAGCAACTGCTTCATTAATAAGAAGTTAAAAGAATCAATACCATTAAATGGTGCTCTCTCCATTCCTCTAATTTGTCGTAAGCCGACACTGCAAAAGATGTCCGAACACGAGGCTCGGTAAAAGGAGAGGTAAAGACTTTGATGATTGTCATGGTATTCACTTTATTCCTCTAAATATTTTTCTCAACCACATTCCTGGTTTCACACCCCTTATCCAATGACTTAATGCCACGTGAGAGATTGACATGGGGGCTATGCCAAAAAATTCAACTATACTCTTAACGTGTCACCATGATACAAGTGGTTCTCCTGGATTGAACTAACGACATTTATATAATCATAATAATATCATCCCATAATATTTATTATAATATTCGCTATGTTGTAATTATAGCACAAATAAAAGCACGATTACAATCGTAATTTAAATAGCTGAGAGACAAAAACACTTGGAATATGGGCATAACATAAAAGATAGATCATCAGAAGCAGGTCACGGCAGGTGGTTATTAGGTACGACTCACATGGTCTCAACCAGAAAAACATGGGATTGTCTTAGGAAAGACAGACTAATATACGGTTAATATACGGCGTTACTAGATATATTATAATATATTTAATAAATTCGGTTTAACGCTACCGGAAATATCGAGTAATAACAATGTTGTAGGTGGAAATCATGAAGAAAATATTAAAAAATTTGGCAACCGGCAAACATAACTTGTCGGTTTCTGTCGATACAAATAAAAAATGTATCGCTCCATAGCAATATAACAGGTAAAAATATGATAAAAACCGGTTTCATTATGATAAAATCGGTAAACCGCTACTGGATATATCGAAAGTATCGATTAGATTTAAATAAGTATAGACACCTTTAGAATTTAAAAGAGAAAAAGTAATAGCGCCTATAAAGTGTCGATACTTTATAAAAACGTATCGATCCATAACAATATAACAGGTATAAGTATGACAAAACCGGTCACGAAATTATAAAACAAGTAAAGAGCTACCGGATATATTGAAAGTGTCGATACGTTAATATAAGTATCGACACTTTTTGAATTTAAAAGAGAAGAAGTTATAGCGCCTATAAAGTGTCGATACTTTATACAAATTTATCGATCCATAGTAATATAACAGG